CCTTCCTCCAGTCCTCAGGCACCTCTCCCATGAAATAAACAGGAGTGCAGTTATCCACAGTGGGCTTTGCCAAGAAGCCTCACTTGTAGACAGCAGTAGGTGGACAATTGCCAGAGCAGCCCTAGGACAGCCCATGCAGACCTAAGTGCTCTTTATCATTCAGTCCTGCTGAGATACTGGGGTTGCACCAGGACCTCCTCCCACACTCTTTTGATGCTGCAGAAAATTAGAATCTCGTGTCTGCTTCCAAGAAAGCAACCACTCTCCGAAAGCAGGGTTCACGAGTCCTGTTGGCAAGATGGCTGAAGGATGTGCCAAGGCTGGCTGCGGCCAGCCCCCATGCTGGGGGCTGATACAACTTCCATGAGGTCCACATGTCTGGGAAGAAGGAGTCTGCAAGCCTTCCTGCACAGCCCGCATATTTTCCCTCTCCGCCAGCCACAGAGCTAATAATCAGTTTTGATATGCAGACAGTATTCACTAGCCTGCTTTGCTTGTTTGTTTGTTTTTAAAGCTGAAACCAAGCCTCAGTTTCCAACTTACTAGCTACAAGGCATTTTCACTGTCTCTGGCTCTGGTTAAACAGCCTCAGCTTAGTCAAGCAGATCCTTTTGCTTTCCCTGCTGCATGCCACTGACCATCCTCCTTGCTCACTGCTCAGGCCCACTCACAGACCATTGTGTGCTTCAGTCAAAGGTTTGGGCCACATTCTATTCCCCTGCTACACCCTCTCCAGTTATGCCCAGACTAAAAACCTGCCACAACCTTCTTCACTTATTTATCACCAGCAACCCTCCTTCTGCTTTCCTCTTTCTCCCACTTGCAAAAATATTGGATTACTTTAACAGTTTCTTCAAAGAAGAAAAAAAAATATCTGCTCAACCTATTGTGATATCCCTCCGTAATATCCCAACGTTTCCTCCCTCCTCTCCAACCTTGAAGCTTGCTCTCTTCTCTCTACTTGCCATGGTGATCTTTCCAACCTACTTTTCCCTGCAGGTTCATCCTTTTCCTCACTAGCCTCTGGTTCTTCCAGCCCAGATATCAGTAACTTTTCCTTTTTCTTGAATGCAAAAACTTACACACCTGTGAACGTAAAAATAATTATGACGTGATGTAAAGGTCACTTTCACATGTCTGACAAGAAATAAAAAGCTTTTTCAGCTTGCCTTAGCAATCAGTAAGCAAAATGTGAAACATTTTAATCTAAAATAGGAAAAGTATACATGTTTTCCTTCCAGTGCTCCAGTTCCTATTTGTCCCATGCTCCTAGTTATTCCCATTAGACACTCAAAACCAGCTAATTAAAACAATCTCATGGCCTTAGTTCACATTTTGTTTGGTCTTCACAAACAAGCTATCAAACTTGTTGTCACTAACTGGTGTCTCTGGCTGGTACTGTCTGTAGAGGGTGACTTAGACTGAAGAAACATGTCAGGTCAAACATCTTTGAGTCAGACAGATAGAATTTCTGGGCATAAGCATGTTTCCAGGAAAAGCCAAGCTTCCTCTTCCACTATCCTCTAGCCTCACACTAAGCAGGTTATGAAGGAGGAAGGTGGTGAGCCACAGAAATCAAGATGAGTTGTATGTCAAAAACTTACATGTGGAAGGGACAGCAAACATCGGCTATTGCACTCATATGCTTCTTTGTGTCTTCCAAGTTCATTTAAGGAGCGGGCTTTCCGGAAGAGTGCTCGGATGTTCTCCTTGTCAAGACTTAAAGCCTTCTCGCTGTCTTCCAGTGCCTTCTCATACAACCCCTGCACGGAAGAGACCACCTCAAGTCAGCTGAGGCACAGCAGACTAACCCTCTCCTTCTATGTGAATGCAAATGTTTTATCTCTCAGCAGAAAACAGGAATATAAAAAGCAGTTGGAAATACATATATGTAAATATATATATATTTACCTCATACACAATCAACACACAAACACACACAACCTACAGTAATAGAACATTTTGTTAAGTTGCAAAACTGAAAACACTTCAAAGTCAGTGAAGGCCAGAATTGAGACTGCTTGAGTAACCTTAGCTTGTCTCCCTCTCTACCTTGGGCATGTGACATTTGACAGTCTTTAATTATGTGACTGCTTGCTATTTTTTTTCACGGAACTCAGCCTCATTATGAACAGGATGGACCTGCTCGGGGGCTGTCCCATAAAGGAAAGCTGTTAGATTCCCTAGGAAAATGGAAGCAGGTAGCCTTTTAGAGCCTGAGTATTGCACAATAATTTTGCATGTGTGTGCTGAAAGTTCCGTCAAGACCCAAAGCCTTCTGTCTTCCAGTGCCCCACTTGAGGAGGCAGGAGCCTGCAGAGCAACACTCAAACAGTATTCCAGAGAAATACACAGTCATTACTGGAAGGGACTGGTTCTTTCCAATCTCTGGACTGTTCTAACTCTTCACCAGCATGAACCAGAACTCCATTGTCAGTACCTTAGGCCTGGCTCCCTCTCCTTCACATCCTTCCTCTGGTCTCTCAAGACACAGTGCGATAGTGGGGAGATATCAGTTTTCTGTGTGTCATAATCTCCCCCAGTGTTGGAGAAGGGAGTGGACAAAATCAATTGAAATCCTCCTTGACATCTTTTCCAACTGCATGGCACTGCAACCATGATGTCCTCCCTGGCCCCTGGGGATGACTTGGGAAGGCGCTCACCATGGCAAAGTAGCAGGCAGCTCGGTTGACATGCAGCTTGCACAGGAGTTCCTTTGGGATGGTCACCTCGTCCGAGGCTGCGTAATCTGCCACATTCAGCCCTTCTACATACTGTACCAGTGAAAGCTTGAAATCCTTCTCTCGAAACAAATCATTGCCCTCTGCAAACAGGTTTCTCACCAGCTTCTGCAAAAAGGCCTGGGCAGCAGGGAGAGAGTAAATAGTTTTAGCAAGCTTCCTGCCCACTAAGATTCTCCTGCCTCCCCACCCTCCTGTAAAATGTCAGTCTTTTGGTAGAGAAGAATAATCCAGTCAAATCTCCTTCCTTCTTGAACACTCAAACGTCTTCTTTTCCTGAAAGTTGTCACTGTCAGACCCTTAAAATGTTACGTTACAGACAAGCTGTGACAGACAACCCCATGCTTTCCACTCTCGGTGCACACACTAATGGCTGTGCAACAGAACAAATATTGCTAACCAAAGAGTTCTCAACTTTGGAAAACAAATTCTTCATTACCTCATAATCTTCTTGGCTTAGGGGTAATGTGGACCTGAAAAAAAAAAAAGAAGAGAAAATGCTCATGAAATAGGCATCCATACAAACACAGGCTTTTGTCTGATGAAGAAACCATCTTTCTGGTTCTGTGAGTTGCTAAACAATTTATCACTTTAAAGGCAGCTGGGGCAAAGAGAAAACAATTAGGGAGCACTGTGCTCAGTGATGGCCACAGTGGCGTCAAGAGATGGTCAGGTCCCAAAGGGATCTGAGACTAGAGGAATTTTATTCTCAGCTATTTTCTGCACATACACAATCCTCTGTAATGTGCCTTCAGCCAGCCACCTAAAAAAAACCACACTTGAGAAAGTCCCATGAGATTGTCATGGAGAATACAAGCATATCTTAAGTGTATCTGGCTCTAATGAGAGGCACCAGACTGGCACTACAAGACCTCCTTAAATCCTCTCTGTGACCGAAGACGTACAATGATAAAAGCAATCACTTTCTTCTGCATTAACTTAGCCACACGCCTACAGGCCTACACCACAAAAGCAAAGGAGAAAATGCAGGTTCAGGAGGAGGCACTTAACTCCAGTTGTCCGGGCCAAGGCTGCCAGGCTGGGCCACTAAATTGGCAGAGCTTGTGTGGGTAACACCTACACCGTAACAGCACCGAGACTTAGACAAAAGGTTCCATTCTTCAAATCAGACCAACCAGGTCATCCAGGTTTGGTCCACCTGTATTTATTTTTTCTGTTCAAGGAGAAAACACTAGGTTCTAGAGAAATCCTTAGCACCTTTCATAGCCCTCCTTACCTTTGAAATACAACATCATATACATTATCTTATTGGTCAGAGAATAAACTTTTTTTAGATTTCATCTAATCTAATCATCATCTGCTTCTTAAAATTAACTACAGGAAATGCCTTGGCTTTGTAAGAAACATTCATGCTGCTTACAAAATTGGCCTACCCCTCTTTCACATCAAAACAAGCCAACAAATGACACTGTCCCCGCTTTGGAGTTTAAGATGTGCTCCAGAAGCATGAACAACGCCCCCTATTTCTAAACCATTTTCTTTCTAATAAATAAACCTCACAATTGCCCCTCTGAAACTAAGTTATCAGCCCCATTTAATCTCAGTCTGGGGTGAAAATATCATTGCTATGCCACAGAATACAAATATGTAACCTGGAAAACTTTTTTTCCTATTGTAGATTAACAGATTTCAGCAATAATAACTGCAGGACTCAAAGCAGACCTTAAAAAAACCCCAAAACAATCTGATTATAATCTTGCTGCTTCCTTACTTACCATGGAACCTGCACCTGAATTTGAGACCTTTGCTAACGTAGACACTGGAAGGAAAAAACACTACTGTACTTTATAAGGAAGCACTTGGACTTTTAGTTACCACATGAACAAGCACCTCAAGCTCTAGAAGGCCACAACAGTTACAGAAGAGTGACCTGAGGCACCTACCAGGTTGGCAACTGTAAAAGAGTCCAGGTCATCTATTTCTGCTACAGGCACTATATGGGGCACCTGGCAAGTCATTTACCCTGCTCTCCCCACCTACAAAATAGAAATACTATCTCCCTTCCCAAGAAAGGTGGGATAACTTTGTTGAGAGAGGACTTTAAGATTCTCACACCGAAGATAAAGCCCAAGTACTATTTGCATTTTGCTGACTATAAAGATCATCCTGGAACTGCAGTGGAGGGCACAATCTAAGGAAACTAAAATTATACAATTTCAAGATTAGAGAGATGGCAGGACAAGAAACACCCTGAAGAACCACAGTGGAAATTCTCGGGACCGATATCTCTTTCCCATGTAGCAGCCCCAAAGCAGTGAATAGGAAGAACTCAGGTCCTGCAATCCTTGATACGAAGACAATTGCCACCAAAGCCTCAGGAAATAATAAGGTTGTTCACTTACTGAATGAACTGAAGTCCCTTCTCTATTTCTTGTTTCCTCTTCTGTCTCTCCATTAAGGTCACTGCAGAGGAAGAAGAAAAAAAAACAACACAAAATGAATCATTATTGGTCTTGCTGGCAATTAAGCAGCACAGTATTTTGTGTGTGCCTGAATTTATTACTAACAAAATGTTCCAGATCAGATGCCCTGAACACTGAAGTCCATGATTTATCGACACAGCAGACACGGATGGCAAGCAGCTCACTACCAAGTATCTGTTTTTTCTCACATGCCACTGCCAGGATACATGGGCAAAGAAGAATTACTTCAATTTGAGATTTCTACTTAGACTGACAGTAAATAAAGCAACAGAAACCAACCACAGTCATGCCTGCCTTCTAAGAACGGGAAAAAAGAAAAAAAAAAGATCAACATTTCCTCTGCACTGGCAAGTCATTTCAGGAATTTATGCTGGGACCCTTCCATGATAAGGAATTCTGACTGCTTTTTATTTGGGACAGATTTAAACTGGTTTACCACATGGCATACAAAACAAGCAATCTGTGTAAGATGTCTGGAGGCACATCACTGAGAAATGTAAAGGAAGAAGATGGAATTGGTTGTCGTGGTCCACATGAAAGAACAGCAATGAATCTAAGCAATAGGAATTTTGTGCTGAAAGTCAGCAGCCAAAAGCAGAGAGACTTGGGAATGCTCCTTCAGAGAGCGGACAGGACTCCATCCTGCAGTGTTTTAAACTGGAGTGGCCAGTGCCTGAGAAAGACTCAAGAGAGAGTTATCTCCACCTAGTCAGGGACACAAATGGGCACGGTAACTTGTCTAGGTTTGACCAAATCCAGTCTGGATCTCTGCAAGTGCAGACAAGTAAAGAGTGTGATGGAGCCATTTTGGAGTAATGTCCCTTTTCTCAACTAAAATGGGTCTGAATCACACCATTAGATACATGAGCTTCAACCCCAGGGTTTTGGGAGCAAATCTTGGAATGGCTCCTCCCTGACCTCTCCCCAAGGTACACAGGTCTGCCACACAAGAAAAGAATTAAGAAGAGGGGAAGGGATGGCACTTTGTGGCAAAATAGAGTTGCTGTCAACAGCAAATCTCACAGCCTTGCCATCAGCCAGCTGTGATGACAAACAATGCTTAGCTTTTGAGGAATGGTAACTTGGGGATAAAGGCAGCAAGCATAGAAACACTGAGATGAGATGGAGCTGAAGACACCATGCCCTCCCAGCTTGGGATTACCTCTCAAGAGATTGCAAGAAAAACAAAAAGTAATTTCTCTAACTCTACACTACAGCAGCTTGGAGAGCATTACTGCCCAGCTCCATTTTACACTGAGACCATCTCCATCATTCTAAGGTATCTTATGGTATTTATGGCACATTCAGCCTGGCACAGGGTGAAGGGACTTTTAAGGTATGTGAAAATCAATCCTGACAACTCAGCAAGCCCTTATTGCCTGTGCTCTGCACCATGCAAAATGTAGAATTAAAACCTCCTCTTTATCAAGAAGGAGAGTTGGGGAAAGGGGGAAAGGCAGGAGTAAGAGAAAGACCAGAAAGAAGTGGTAGCAGAAGGAAACAAGAGCTTGAAAGTGACACTGTGCAGTTTGTAAGTCATCAGACATTAAATTTGAGAGCAATCTGGTCTGAGCAGCAGGTAGATTTTAAGCAGCTGCATTTGGAATGGGATGGGCAGCTCAGCAAGGAAGGGAAAGCCAACAGACAAGGTGAGTGATGAGCACCTCTATAGAGGCTTTTAACAGAAGCGATAGAAAAGAGCAGGTAGACTTCAGTATAACACCAACAGAAGGCCTGGAATGATTTATAAATAAACTGGATAATGAGCAATCAGGAAGAAGCAAGGAAATTTAACAAGGAGACTGTGAGGTTAATATGATTACTAATGCTCCAGGCAGACAGGCTTGAGGGGCAGAAAAAGAGAGTTCATTTATTTTGCATTTCTCCTTGCATGGAATTCTGCAAAGACAGAAGTAAGAGAAAACAGTCAAGGTGAAGAGGAGCAGTAGGAAGCATTTCCACACAGACAGCAGTGAAACCCCAAAGCACTGTAGGAGAGAACTGTGAGGGCCATCAGAGAGAAGGGTGGGGAAAGAGCCACCATGAAAAATGACAAGAGATAAACTGGGGAGAGAAGAGTTAAAAGATTAAGGGGACACCCACAAAGGCTGATGGAGAAAGGACAGGGAGAGAGGAGGAATTTCTAGCTGTCTGGGCCCTGAGTGCACCAACAGGCTTTAAATGCCCTAAACAGCCTCACCTCAGACCCCTACCCATCGTCCAGGAGCTCCATTTAAGCTCAGGTCCAGGCATACCGCTTCGTCTGAACCACACTGTCCTCAGTCGTATCTCCTGGACAAACCTTGGACCTACACTGCAGGCAACTTGTCTCCAGTCCTGTCTCTGGCACCATCTCTTACTGCCGGACTTGCTGGGTAGAACTTGGACCAAATTAACCACCTCATCTTCTCTGGGACTGTTGATGGACCCCTGCTATCAGCATCTTGTTCTGCCTGCCCTGTTCAGATATGGTAGGACTGTATCCTAGTTAATGAGGGCACTGCTGGTGGCTGTCATCATCACCTTTGGCTCCAAGCTTGTCCTCCCCAGAGGAGCAGCCCTTCTCTTGCTGCTCCCTGACATGAGCCATGCTGGAGAGAACAAAAGTCAGGGAAGTGAAGCAGCAGCCCACAGATCTGATGAAAAGGGAGATTGTTGGTGACTGTGGGGAGAGCAATTGAAAACTGTCTGGTCACCACAAAGTCAATGGCTGCACTCCAAAAATGCTGTGGCACACCTTCACAATTGTGTATACCCATAAAACAGATCATCACCTTGAAAAGCTTCTGATACGCACAGCTTACTTCAACCTCTGCTTCCGAGTTCAGCTCTTAAAACACTACTGCAAGGAGCAAAGAAATCATTACCTGTTCTCATGGCTGCCTTGACCCCACAGCTAAAATGTCCTACACAGCAGGATATAGACATGTGTTACAATAAGAACTGGTTACTGTTGATTGCCCACGGAGAAGGACATTCAAACAAAATGACCAAAAGCTGGAGTGGAGCCAAAGGACTATAGGGAAAGGCTCCAGAATCTCTCCTTCCTAGAGTTATCCAGCTCCTCTTGCATCCTAGAGCTCCTCTTCTGTTTCTTCTCACCACCACTGCCACCATATGCAACATGTGTATCTCCACCCTTGTTTCATATGGATGGCTAACCAACCTACTGGATCTCTCGAAGTCCCACAATATCCAGCTACAGTTTTGATCCTTGGTACAAAACCCCAATTAAAAAAACCCTGTGCCCTGCAAGCTGTTTAATCTCTGCAGTACTACTCTCAACTTCCACAGTGAATGTTCTCCAACCCGAGACCCTCCATTGCCTTCTTTAGAAATAAACCGCAGGCCTGATCTTTCCTCCAGACTGTTGCTCCCTGATACTGCCCCACATTCCTCTCTCCTTGCAAGTGGGTGACCAGCTTCCTCTGCTAAAGCTCCATCACGCCTTCACACTTATGTCACGACTTTGCACATAGGACTCATCTCCTCATGGCAACACACTGAAAACACACACCACATGCTGATGCCCTAACAACTTCCTTCACATCTCTCAAGAACAACCACCTTTCCCTTTCGATCTGACTCCACACCAGCACCCTGCACCACATGTGGTGGACCTCTCGCCTGTCCTGCCTGCCCCTTCGCTGCTGGAGGCTACCATTTAGACTCCTCCTTTTGTTCCTCACACCTCCTCCCCTGCCACCTCGCCCCCTGCCACCTCCCAGGCAAACTCGGGTCACTTCTGTCTCCCCTCGTCATCCCAGCCTCTCCCCACCGTGTCTCATTCAATCCTCAGACCAAGACGCACACCCATTACGCCAGCAAACCCAAGACACAGTGAGCCACCCATACATGCAACACTTCAGTTCTGCTGTACGCCATATCACTGCTGATGTGTAACTAATTTTAAGCGCAGAGTCTGTTTAGCTTTTGTTTTCTTGGTCTTTTAAATATTTTCAGAAACACAGTGGAAAACATTTAATGAAGCAGTGTGCCTAAGCATCGCGGTTTTTTCCCCCCCACCAAATCCGTCTGTCCAGACTTGTCTGCTCAAATAACCAGCAGAATCCGAATCCAGAGTATTTATATCCCCGCTACAAAGCTCTTATCCTTTCAGTCCAATGATGTTTATGCTCTCTGGTCCAGCATCTCGAGAGGACTTTATAGTTTGTCAATGAGTTACAAACTATTTGCCAGACAGAAATAAAATCCTCCAGGTTGGCAAAATGGTTTTCTTCCCTTTGGCAGGAAGCATGAGCAGTAAAACAGGGCGACTCAATCACAAACTAGGGAGACTCACTCTACAGGACACTATGAGATGAATGGAAAGACTTGAATTTACCTCATCAAGGACTGGGTGTTATTTCCAACCCTAACAGAGCCGAATTTGAGCAAAGTTTGAATTTCATACTATATTTCTGGGATGGCAATGAGTTCACACTTGACTGACTTCCAGGCTTTGACTGTAACATTTCAGCCAGAAATAAGCACACCAAGATGCAAGTGGCAGGTTGTAAAGCTGAGTCAGGAGCTCAGCCCCAGGCTGTGTGCACTCTCCTCCAGGCAAAAGGCTCCAGGATGCACTAGCCTGCAACATGGAGTCCTTCACTGGCTGCAGTTTGGCCACCTTGGTGGTGCAGCAGAACAGGTAACTGGACCCATGTCAAGCAGAGGACAAGCCACGCAGACCACTACAAACATGGGCTCCCACTTGCTCCTGTGGCTGCTCTCTGCTATGCCCCACTCCCTGGGTTTGAATGCTTCTCACAGCCCACAGCTCTCAGGGTCCCCATCACCATGCTGTGCCCACCAGGTCCGACGACTGCGTCCCTCCATGTGCCAGCTACCCCAAGGTACCTCCATGGCTGCTGTCCCACACCCTGGCACCCACTAGTCCCATTCCTGTCCCATGGCACCATCAGGGTGGCTGGCATCAGGAGGCCACCAGTTTCACCCCATAATACCTCCAGGAAACGC